AGGGAAAAAGAAAAAACAAAGAGGAAGAGAAGAGGAGACGGCCGAGGGAGATACAGGGGAGAAGTGAAGGAGACGACGAGGGAGAGTGAAATCGCAAGAGGAATTTGAAGGACCGAAAGAGTTGAGTGAGCCATGGCTGAGGGAGAGGAAATGGAGGCAAAAGGTAAGGGAATTTAGAGTTTCTGACTCGGTATGGTAAAGCAAGATCAATCCTATTTGTGTTTTTCTTTTCATGGAATTGGTTGAATGAGGTGATCGGGAATGAGGGAGGAGAGATGCGGATGAGGTTATTAAGTCAAGTGTGGATGTAGTAACCTCTATCGTGAGGAGGTTTTGCGAGGATAGAGTATACGCGGTCGGGTGAGAGTATGGGTTGAGCGGAAGTTGTGTAGGCTAGGGCAAGGTCATAGAATCTGAGTAGAAGAGGGGGATTGAGTGTTATATAGCAAGGGAGAGATTGTGACGCAATCGGTGTGCGTATGTGGCCATTACAGGCTGAGTGGGACTGTGTGAGCGAGCAACTTAGGGAGTTTGATACATGCGTGTGTGGCAGACACTGGCCAAAGATTGTATGCACTGAGTAGTTGAAATTTTGTGATTTAGTTTGGGTGTGAGTGGGTGTGTGGCTCCAGAAAAGCATGATATGGTCAGTGGCCGTGTGTGGCCATTACAGGCCGAGTGTGACAGTGTAGGTGAGCATTACAGAGAGGCATCTGGTGTGTGTGTGTGTGTGGCAGAGACTGGCCGAGAATGGTAGGGACTAAGTCGGTGAGTTTATGTGATATGTGTGTGAGTGTGTGTAGCCTCTGTGGTTGTGGTGACAGGTGGGTGATGAATAAGTGGAGGGCCTTCATTGGCCGAGAGTTGTGAGGGAGGAAATCGTATATGTGGACTAGGATGTTGGTAGGTGTGGTCTTCACAGGCCTTTGTCCCAGGTTGGACATGGAATGTTGGTTGAGTGAATGTGTGGGTGTGGCCTTTCTAAGTCGGGCATTTGCCGGTGATGGTGTGGACTCGGGTGTATAGGTGGGGTCTTTATAGGCCGTTGCCCCAGGGCTATTAGGGGATAACTGAATGAGTGATGTGTGTGAGTGGCCTCTCCAGGCTGAAAAAATGGAAGGTATGGATGTGTGTTCAGTAAAGACTGATTGGTTCCGATATGGAGGTTGAGTAGTGGACATAGGTGAACTATGAGTGTATGTTGGCCTTTCAGGACCGTAGCCACGGGTGGGGTAAGAGTATTTCGGGTTAGTAGGAGTAAACAGTAGGTACAATTAGGTTGATATAAGTACTAAGCTCTAGGGAAATGACCACCTTAGGATAGGGATGGGAGAGCGGACAAGTGAGAGTGTGGTTTAAGTGAGGAGTGTTGGGGTGAAGAATTTCTTGGTTTTTATGTTGTAGTCTTAAATTCTACATTTTTTTTATTGGATCTATTGATACTCGTTACTGTTGTTTTCAGATGTGTTGGATTCAAAGTCAAAATCAAAATGCATAGCGATGGAGGCCTACACTTAAGGAAAGCACGCTAGTATAGGATGCTTGTTTTATATATATGAGTACACACTATATCAACCTTGAAATTATAATTGTTATAATATCGAACTATGTGAATTGACAATGTACTTTTTAGGTGTTTAATGAACATGAGGTGGTTATTACTTTTGAAGAATGAAATGATTGAAATTTGTTGTAAGATGAAAAAAGTTCGGGAATTAGGATGCTAAATGGTGGTAATGCCCCATCTTTAGAACAGACTGTTACATATACAATGATCGAATTTTGTATTTAATGAAAGATATATTTTTTATAATAAAAAAAACGCATTAAAAGGAAATTTTTTTCGTATTTAACTATTTCACAATATACCCATAAAGAAAAGGGTTATATTATGATCATCAAAGCTTACACAAGCCAAATTATCAATGTACAAAAGCTACTTTGCAACAACTACAAATATTAAAAGATATAAAAAAAAAAATCATTACCCATTTCCACATTCACACCACATTTTGAATAATAACATGCAACAGGTCTAAATTAATGGTGGCAAAGGGGTGTAGATATACTTTTGCTGTAAAATATTGACCTAAACAATCTAAGGTCAACCATCTTCATTTCCTTTATTCTGCTTATTTTGATGATGTTGAATCAATGCCACATAATATTGAATCATGCCAGCATTGTGAAGCAAGCTTTTTCTGCCTGGCTTTTTTTTAAGCACTTGTCAGCATTGTAAAAAAAATAGCCTCTGCTTTTGCTTTTACTTTTACACTTCTGTGTTGCTAGTAATTCATTTGCTTGGTTGTTGCCATACTCGGGTGAGAGCAGTTGTATAAGCACTCTTTGCTGTGAAGGGCTTTTGTTTTTAAGCTTCTCAAAGAAAAAGAAGAAATATGATGAGAGGTCTCCAGCTTCTGCAATCTACAGAAAGTAAGTCAACTGCTGCTTCTTTCTCGAACCACCTTCTCCGTATAATTCATTCCATTGCTTCAGCTCGCTCATTATTGATCCTTCTGCAGCAAAACTAGCAGCAACCTGCAAAAATTTGTGTTTCAACCCGTAAGTGTATGGTTAAAACTTGTACAACCTTAAAATTTTGTTAATTACGTAACACATACACATCAATCATAACACAATTTTTTACTAAAAATTTCATAAATGCACAACTCGATTTGAGTCCATAATCTTTTATGAAAAGAGGGACGTATCAACTATCCAACCAAACATTTGATTTGACATAAAAGGATATCGATAAACTTTACCTGGTTTTTCGCTTGCCTCATATCTTCCATGTTCAAGGGCCTTAAAACAATAACTTGTTCCTCTTTATTTTCTTCTTTTGAATCTGATGACTCTTCTGCATTTTTCTCTGACTCTTCGGTGCTTTTTCCTGCTTCCTCTTTCTTTTTGCTTTCCTGTGGACAATCATTTCTTCTAAATATCGAAAATGAATACTAAATAGTGAAAAAAGAGGCTACGCATTTTACCATATCCTTTAATCTTTCCTGCTGTATAAGCTCTCTAACGGGTCGATATGCAGCTGTTACACACAGGTTCTGTATCCATAACAAAGTTTAATCAGTTAGTTATATTGGATTAAACGTGGATTTAATCAAATTTTAACCAAAAGGTTCAGCCAAGTTAAGCCGTGGATTAAAAGAACAAACCTTAAGATCACTTCCACTGTATCCTTCGGTCATGGTAGCAAGTTCCTTAAAGTCTAGATTTTCAACTTTCTCTTTTGCCAACAGGGTTTTCAAGATCATCTCCCTGTTCTCAACCGATGGAAGACCAACCATAATTCTGTCCAGCAAAGAAGAGAATATATACACATATAAGTAGGAACTATATAAGGAGAAATATGTAAAATGTAAGTTCAATTTCGTTTCCATCTGGTCTAGTTAGCTATTTTTCGTGCTAATCAATGACATAGACAAGAATTTGGATACAATACCTGCGCTCAAACCTCCTGATGATTGCTTCGTCGAGGTCAAATGGCCTGTTTGTTGCAGCAAGAACGAGGATTCGTTCACCATTTTTCGTTAAAAGTCCATCCCAATGTGTCATGAACTCATTCTTGATCTTACGCATAGCCTCATGTTCCCCAACTCTTGTCCTTTGTCCGAGCATGCTATCAACCTCATCAACAAAGATGATCGTTGGGGAAACTTTGGCTGCAAGACTGAATAGAGCTCTAACATTCTTTTCGTCTTCTCCAAACCATTTTGAAGTGATGGTGGACATGGAGACGTTGATGAAACTTGCTCCAGCTTCATTTGCAATGGCCTTGGCTAGCATTGTTTTGCCAGTTCCAGGAGGGCCGAAAAGCAAAATACCCCGGCAAGGTTTGAGCAAGCCTCCTTTAAAGAGGTCTGGTCGCCGGAGAGGGAGCATGACAAGCTCTTGGAGGGACTCTTTGATCTCTTCTAGTGCACCAATGTCTGCAAATGTCACTCCTATCTCATTTGCAGGTATTACCTCTGGCCTGATTCGCTTTTCAAATTCATTATCAGGAAGAACTTCCTGTAGGATTTCAACAACATTTCTAAACTCAGACAAAACTAGATTTCTTCTAAGTCAAGTTTTGATTAAATTATCTAACATGATATTAGAGCATGAATCTAAAGTTCAAGATCATGTTGATTAGATTGTGTTGATGTGATTGATTCTGTATATATTTTAAGAATATTTTTATATATTCTACAAATATTTCAGAGAAAATCCTAATAGTTTATGTATATCAGGGTTCACAACTCTATCAGTGATTGTACACTCTCATTTTTCATCAATAGTAGAAAGTTTCTTCTCGCTCTTACTCGTGGATATAAGCATCCTTGTTGAACTGCATAAATCTTGTATCTTTTCTTTCTTTACGTTTTGTTTTGTGTGATGGAATGCCAGTTTGAGATTAACTTTTTCACATATTGGACTATTTTCTGTTAGTTTAAACAAATTCCACTTACGGGTGCTTTTGCTGGTCCTTGAGTATCGCCGTCCTTCTTCACTCCTGTAATAGATTTCTCAATTTCTCCTTTATTTTCAGGGGCTGCTGATTCAGATTTCGACTCAGCCTTTGCACCAACAGTCTCTTCATTCTCCTGTAATTTCCCAGAAAGCAGCAGAATGATTCAAACCATATAAAACATGAATCAAAGGTCACCCAGTACTCAAATTCTTGAAAAGAAAAACAAACCTTTGTCTCCAGCTTTATGGTATCCTTCCCACTACTTTTACCTTCCTGGAATATACTCAGTCCATGGGACAAACTGATTCAAAGACATAAAAGCAATCAATTAAACTGAATTTCCTTCTATTAATACAAAAAAGAAAATGAAGAACATGAAAGTTCAGATTGGAATCTAAATCTAAATCTACCTCTTTGATGATATAACAAGCTTCCCATTTCGATATTCCGGATCCTTATTGTTCATCAAATGATAAGAAATTGCAGATACCACAATCTCTTCAATATAATTACTGATAACCAAAGTATCTGCATGACAGATTGAACCCAAATCATCACATTCAAGATCATTTGCTGCTAGTACTTCAGCAATATGGTTTTTGTTATCTTGAAATTGGAGTATCTTCATGTCTTCTTCTAGCTGAGCTTTCCAACTAACAAGATGAGTTTCATCATCAGGTGGTCTGATCTCAATATTGTATGGGAATAAAACAGTGATCCTCTCATCGACTTCTCTGCAATCATCTTCTGGATCAATCATCCGCGACCCAAGTATTAAAATCGGACCAGAAAGCTTCTTCAGCAATCTTTGAAATAGGTTATAAAGCCTTTGTGATTGGAGTAGAAGCTTCTCAACATCCCTCAAGTATAGTATTATGGAGTCATTTTCAGATACTGAAAGCAGTACCTATAAGAAAAAAATCAAAACTTTCTTGTTAAATATCATGGAAACAAGGTCTGAATCTGAGTTCTGAAACAAGCAATGTCTATAATATTGATATACCTTGTAAAGTGATTGCAGAAAAAGTTTCTCGTCGAAGCACCAGCTGCTGCAACGTTTGAGGGGAGCTAAAGAGAACGAAAGGATCCGAAACAAACAGTCAATACAATATGCTAGTATACAAATTTAAGCGTGATGGGAACTATTAATGTAGATTGGACCATTTCTAATAAGTTTAAACATTATAGTGATTAACGAGATGAAGTATTACTGGGATTTGGAGTTGTAGAACAGGAAGAAATGCTGCTCATATCTGATGCTGCAGAGGCATTTCTTCGGAGTTTCGGAGGGTTAGTAGATGTCTCGATACTCCTGCAAACATTTAAGCAGAACCTTTAAAATTTATACGATATTTATTATACATAACAAATATCACATATGGCCAGCTAAGTAAGCTTAAAGGACTTGAAACGTTTAAGGGTATATATTGATATAAGTTACCTTGATTTAACATCAATGCTACTGCTCCTTCCGTGGAGTATACCTGTAAGAATATATCATTATCAGAGCTGATCTTGCGTAGTTTCTCGACTAAAACTGGATCATTTAGGTACCAACTTGAATCTTAACAAGATCTAAGACATATCGTTATGTTTGAAATTGGCATCTGAGATTTCATTTTGATCCAATGTACTTTCTTCTCATACCTCTTGTTTCTTCTATTGGAGAAAGCATCGAAAGGGAACCAAACAAACTCGACACTCGATCTAATGTCATTTCTGAGATTGACCTCTTGAATGACTACAAAAGAGAACTTAAAATCAATGAAAGCAAAGTTTAAACTCATAAAAAAGTTATCAGTTTTCAACAAAATGATATATATATATATAGATATATAACTAGTTCAATTTCACCACTAGGGCAAAGAAGGCTCACAGCTTCTTTCTTGGTGCAGCCATATTTGCTTTGCATCTGTCACAAGGCAACCATAACAATCATGTAAAACTACTAATCTCAATCAAACCAAATATAATTAAAGATTCAAGCTTGATATTTTACCTTGAGAGAAAAATCAGTAATATCTAACAACAAAAGCTTTGATTTGAAATGGTGTGCCAATGCTTTTGCAAGCATTTGCTGATAAAGTTCTGCCAAAGATCAAAACTTGAATATAAGTAGAATGCTTCAAGCTCACTGAACTGTCACTAGAACCGTTCTCTTTGCAGGAGCTAAAATTATAGACTACTAATGCAAGTAAATTTGGATTCCTTAAAAAAAAAAAGGAATAGAAAGGCTTTACCTGCAGGTCCGGAAAGCAAAATAGTGCGGCTGGCCGGAGAAAGATTCCGGGTATGCTTGGAGATGTCAAGCTGTTTTAAATGAACATAGGCAGCTCCTGTCAACAACACCCGAGTTTTCTCGCTGGCATTGCCAATCATCACAATCAAAACACCAAATCAATGAGTCCGTGGAAGAGAATTTGAACCAAACAGAATAAATTCAAAGACTATCTGAGTGTGAAATCATCATCTAAACCCTAAATTCAGTTAAACCACTTAAAATGTCTTAAGCTTAACAGAATATATCCACGTAAACGTATATAAACGTTGAATCCTTCACATCTCTAAAGCCAACTGTCATCCTCTGCTTTTCCTCTGTTTTTTACCCTTTTCTTTTTTTCTCTATTTTCCTATTTGGTACAAGACAAGCTTACAAATGGGAAAAAATCAACCACCCAGAAAAAGAAGGAATCAGAGGAAGCATCTTCTGCTAAAACCCAGATAAAGATACAAAAATTGAAACCTACCCATTAAATTAAACCCCTAAAAAAGATAAATCACCGGTATAATTTTATCCAGTATTCCTAGAAACATGTGCAGAGGGAATATTTCAGAAACAGATCCCTCACATGGCAATCCTACCAAACCCCACATACTTTCCGTTTGAACAAATCAGAATAACAAGAACCACAAAGAAGCAGCATTGAAACCTTTTTCTGTCCTTTTCTTCCATGCATGAGGAATATTCTTATTCTACCAATCAAATCATTCGATCTAAAGATCTCTAAATCGCCATGTGAAAGTTTAAAACCAGAGATAAAACCCAGAGAAAAGAAAAGGAAACAGAGAGAGAGAGAGAGAGAGAGAGAAATCAAGTAGTCAAGTAATCATCTTAAAACCAGAATCAATTCTTATTCATGAAATCTATGAATATACATGCACATACAAATATTACCTTAGGAAATAAGGGAACTCATCAAAAGTAACCTTGCTTTCTCTTCCATCAAAAACTTGTCTCATCAACTCCTGCTCAATCTGCTCCCCTGTTATACCGTCTGTTGCAGAGCTCGTCCATTTACTCAAGCTCTGGCTTGAAGCCAACCCAAGGCCTACCCCGACACCAACACCTAACGCCGATAAGAACACGTGCTTCTGCTCCATCGCCTTCACTCTCTCGTCAATCCCCAACAAAAAACAAAAAGCAACCTTTTTTTCACCCCACCTTCTCTTTCACCTCTCCACCCTATTTCATACCCAACTCGAAACCCGAAACTTTTGACAAAAGATCAAGAAACACAGAGCTTGAAATGGAACACACGGAAGAAAAAAGACGAACCCAGTTGGATGATCCAAGGATTCGAGCTCGAGAAATCAGAAATGGCGAAATTTAGTCTTTAGATTTTTCCTGGTTTAGAGAGGGGGAGACAATAATAAAAATGGCCGAAAGCTCTGTTCGACAGATAATGGACTACAAGCTATGCGGCCTGTCCCTCCCCTGCTATATATAGCATGCCTTATTACTAATGGACGTTAAAGTCTTTGCCGGGAAAAGAAAACTTCATAAATTAATTAAAAAATATTAAAATAAATAATTTAATTTAATTTTTTTATTTTTAAATTTTCACTCTGGTGTTTTTTTTTTTTTTTTTTACTTTACCGGTTACCGGCTATTCTGGGTTTCAACTTTTTGGTCGGCCTTCTTTTAACTTTTCTCTTTTTTAACGTTTTGTAGCTTTATTAATTAAATTATTAAATCAAATATATAGTTTGATTATGATGGTGACTTCTCTTTTTTTTAAAAAAAAAAAAAAAATTTTAAGGAAAGCTTCCCCATTATATAAAATTAAAAAAAAATATATATATATATATATATATATAATGGATTTACATAGCCTTAAAAAAAAAAAAAAATTGTGGGTCCCACGTTATAAGGTAAATAACTTATAAGATAATAGTAATTTTCTCTAAATCACAAAATCGTTGACTTATGGTTAAATTTTGACTTTCTTGTACTTGGATGCACCGTCAGAGTAGAGTCAATACTGTGTAAAAACTACAGCTGTAAAATACTCACCAATCAATTATTATTTTTTTATATTATTAATATTTAAAATACACTTATATTTTATTTAAAATTCCGAAAATAAATATTTATTCAATTATTATTTATTTTTTAAATAATTACTTTCCTGTAACTTCCTTCTACCACTGCGGTAAGTGGAGCGCGTGAGATTCCACAAGAAAAGAAATTAATTTTGCACGTTTTTACTTTTTTTTTTTTTGACATTTTTGTTTTTTAATAATTTTTTTTTTAGAAATTAAAAATTACTTTCCACGTAATTCCGAACTCTTCTCCAAAAAAACAAGAAATAGGCGGCTGGCGCCCATGAAATCAACTTTTTTTATTTTTTTATTTTAAATCTTTCTTTTTAATTTTAAATTATTTTTATTAAAAAAATTACATTATATTTTTATTTAGTTATAATTATCTCAAATATATATAAATTATAATTTATTTTATTTATTAATTTAAATTTATTTTTAATTAAATTTAATTAATATTTATTTTTTAAAATATTATATAATTATTCAGAATTTATTTTTTATAAGATTTGATTTATATTTATCTATTAAATTACAATACCAATAAAAATTTAGGGTTTTTGGTTAGTTTCATAAGGGAACTGTTCACTACAAGCTATCAGCGCTGTCTTAAATTGAACGGCAATAAGATAAGTTGACGTTCCATTTCTAAGGCCGGTTTCTGCTGAGAACGAAATAGTATTCGTGTTCAAATGTGAATAACGCCAACACTTCTAGAGTTCGCTGCTTTTCCTATAACTTTTATAAAGTATAAAGACAGAGTTGTTGAAGAAAAAGAATATCTTTCTTCATAATGCTACTCCTTTCAGTATTTCGTTCCTCTCATATGGTTCAGCCGAGTTTGTCAAGAGATTTATAATAAAAAATATTAAGAATTTGCATCACTCTTGTGGACTGATGGCAGTCCATATGAAATATATAGTGTTGAGATTTTCAACCCTAATTAGATAAACCCAACATACGGAATGTTTAATGACTTATTAAAATTAACTTCAATTTAATTAGTACAACTCCAAAATGCACTAACAAATTAAATTTTTAGTTTTATTAAATCAAACAGTATAAGTAAACTACTGTCGTATCATAATATGTTTTATAAAATAGTAAACTATACATTATCAGTGAGATTTGAACTCGTAATTTTTAAATTAAAATTTTTTTAATTTTACTTAACGATTAATGTTTCAATCTTATGTTTCACGATCGATTATACGATATACTAAAATACAATTTAACTTTTCTCGACGCCCATTTTTTAATCGAAGAATTCTATAGAGTTACGACTTTTAGCTATACAACTTTTTTTTAAAAAAAGTTAGTGAAAATTGTGGGAGAGCACTTATCAAGTTATCAAAAAGGGTATGGTTGATTATAAGAGCATCTCTCCTTTACTTTTTCTCTTTGTAAAAATTAAATTGTATTTTTTTGGGGGTAATTTTGTAATTTTATACGAATTGTGAGATTCTCTTTTAAGCATATTCTACCAAAATTTACTTTTTTTTAATTAAAAAAATATTTATTTTTCCACGTCAGCTTCACATGGTTTTCTTTGTTCCATTTATTTGCGACTCGTGGGTTCCACGCCAATGCCCCTATATACTTTATTATTAAGTCTCCCCCCCCCCATAAAAAAAAAAAAAAAGCATTTTAAGAAAAAATAAATTACAAAAGTGGTATATATATATATATATATCTCTCTATACCTATATATATGTATATATGTTGTGTATGTATGTATAG